CACGAAGCTACAAATACTTAAGATTAAAATCTTTTGAAATTGTGTATTAAATAAATAATTAATTACTATTAACAAATAAGTCATAATTAAATAAAGTCTCTCTTTTATATCAGAAACGAGGAACTATTTACAATAAGTTGATTTAATCTTCTAGGAGTGCGCGTAATATTATCTGGCTGTGTTATTGACTCTAATATCTGATCAATAGCATCTCGATACTCTTTAGACAAATAATAGTCTTTGTTGTGGCTGCTAGAATTGCACCATAAACTTAAAAACGTATGCATCGTGCCGAGTAGAGCAGAGTGCATATAGTCAGGTGGTAGCCCTTTTGACCTATCAAAGTGAGGAATATTGGAAAGAACAAATCTGCCTTGAACACCTTTGAAATGTTTCAAATTTTCGTATCTTTCAATGATTTCAGTTTGTCTTTCCATACGAGCAGCAGACCTTAAAGGAGATTTATCAGGTTCTGTCGGAAAAACCCAATTCGTCCCGGCTCCTACTTCACTACTTTCCCCTTTGGCTTCGCAACTTCCACAACTACACTCCCCTTTATATTGCATAACGTTCTGAAGAGCTGCTCTAGCCGGAGCATCTAAAACTGCAATCGGAGCAATTACTTTGCTTGTAATTGTATTATTTAAGGCCTGGTTGTGCCACTGAAAACCATTTGTGAACAAATTTTCTAAAGCGGTTGCAAAAGGTTGTAGAAAGGAGTTCATATCAGGTTTTTTACTGCAACGATTTGAATAAAAAATTCCACATACAAACTGAAAGCTCCTCCTAAATTTTAGTTCTATATTTGCAATCTGCGCATACACTGGCCATATTTGACTTTTCCCACTTTTAGAGACTTGATCTCCATCGGTGTACCAAATTAAACACAAGTCATATGGTCCAGGTATAACAGTAGATTTTAAACGAATAAATTCAGACCCAGACGTTAAATCATACAATGTCTGTTGATTTCTTGTCGCGCACTTACTTTGAAATGCATCTATCAAAGTACTAAGGCCTCTCATTTCGAATGCACTTCGCAATTGTGCTTCCAGATCGAACTCTAAAAAGAAACTATTTATATCCCTATTATTACAACGCAGACAATTTCCTACTTGCATTTTATCCCATTTACCCAGGTACTTATAACATTTGGAACAAATTCTGTGTTTTGTAGAAAAATTTTCTTGCGAATAAGGCAAGAAATTAATAAAAAAAAATAAAAAAAAAAAAAAAAAATTAATTTTTTTTTATATTAATTTTAATAATTTATATTTAGTTTTCGGAACTGTGTGTTCATCTGGTAAGAATAAATTTATAGCAGTCAACATATCTTCTAATGCTTTTTTAGTCAAACGATTTTCGACGTACACTCGTAGTAGTTGACATAACGCATCGCCGCCACTCATAGACGCTTGCGAATAAATTGGCGAATCAAACCAGTCTGTTCTGGTTTCATCATCATTATCGTCATTCTAATGGAGAGGTCGTTTCAGCATGCGTCAAAGAAGATGTTGAAGAAGAAGCTGCATCTGACATTGTTTCTTGGTCGTTGTTTTCACTATTAGAACTCTAAAGTGATATAAATGATTAGAAAATAAATAATATATATATATAGAATACTGTAAAAAACTAAAAATTAAAATAAATATATTAAAATGTTACCATGATTAGTTTTTCTATTAATTATCACAAAGTTCCTGTCGTTCTGTATGCGTTTTGAGATGTCGTCTCTATTAACACTCACCTGAAAAATAATTATAATAAAGTTACCATCTATGGTATCTAATATCATGCGTAAATACCATTAACTACAACTACCACTGTACTATTGTACTATTGTATCGTATTACTCTTGTAGATTGTTATTGTTATCAGACATTTCACAAGTGCAGGGCTCGGATCGTCTTTAAGACTCAAAAAAAGTCGCTTAAGTCGCATAAATTTACAACAAAAGTCACGAAAAGTCGCATAAAATTTCCGAAAAAGTCGAAAAAAAGTCGCATGAAATCTTAGAAAAAATAAAAAAAACGACAAAAAGAAAACACAAAATTGTTAAAATTATAAAAAAATCACATTTCTCGACAACAGATACATTAATATCAAACAATCCGGCATAAAATTTTTAAAAAATTAATAAAATTAATAGCAACATTTTAATTATGTATTATTAACATTTTTTTAAAAATTCTCTTTAAAATGTCAATTATTTTTATAAATAATAAAATTCTTCTACGAAATTCAATTATTTAAAAAAATTTTTTATAAAATTCTTCTCTAAAATTCAATTATTTTCAAAAGTAATAAAATTCTTCGCAGAAATTCAATTATATTCAAAATTTTATAAATAATAAAATTCATTATAAAAATTTAATTATTTTCAAAAGTTCTAATAAAATTCTTTGCAAAATTCAATTATCTTAAAAAGTAAGAAAATTCTTTGCAGAAATTCAATTATTTTCAAAAATTTTTTTTTTAATTTTCCTCAAAATTTTAATTATGTTTATAAATATCAAAATTCTTCTGCAAAATTCAATTTCTTTTAAACATTTTTAAAAAAATCTGTTCAAAATTTTAATTATCTTTGTGAGTAATAAAATTCTTCTCTGAAATTCAATTATTTGCAAAGAATTTTAATAAAATTCATCCTAGAAATTCAATTATTTTCAAAAGTAATAAAATTATTAGCAGAAATTAAATTATTTTCAAAATTCAATTAATTTTAAACATTTTTAAAGCAATCTGTTCAAAATTTCAATTATCTTTGAGAGTAATAAAATTCTTCTCTCAAATTTAATTATTTGCAAAAATTTTAAATAAAATTCTTATCAAAAGTTAAATTATCTTTATAAATAATATTAAAATTCATTCTACATGTTAAAGTAGGATTTAGAAATTTGATTTTAATTTTTAAAACTTTAACTTACGTGTCCTTCGGACAAAAGAAATTGTAAAGGTAGTGGATCCCCCTCTACTTAGTTATTGTTTCAACTAAGAGGTTGAGAACCCTACTCTTGTGTGAAATGAGAAGATAGGAAAATTGTTAGGATGTTTGAATTAAACCACAAAATGAAGATAATAACAATTAAATGTATATATTTTACCCAAAGTCCCTATTACAGATAAATCTAATTTTATGTGTAAGAAGAGTAAGTGTATCTGTGTGAATGGAATATTAGTGTGTGTTGTGACACGTAAGATCTTTACTCACTACTCGGTGATTCTTCCTTGGTAATACGAATCCAATGAATGTGTCTTGTCTTTACACCTGCTTCACGATGTTTTTCCGAAAAATTCAGGAAATACCAAATCTAGGTTCACTAGACTGATATTTCGCTGGGAACTTTAATATTCTTTTTAAGTTGCACAAAGTTTAAGATCTGAACCTCGTAAATAAAGGTTGTCTTCTAATATATATTTGAAATTAATGTTATTTATTCTTTAGTAGCTTTACTTTATCTTATTCTTTATGATATAAGAGACTTTTACTTTACTTTGATCACTTTAATTCTTTTATATTTCTTTCACAAATTCCTTTATTTTTATTCCACAAATTTTATATTCAATATCATTTATATTATTTTCAATATTTTCTTTTATTTCCTTTTTTTTTCTTTTTAATTATATCACTTTATTTTATTCTCTATATTTCAATTATATATTTTTTAAATTCAACCTTTTTTTATTTTTATTTATTTATGTTTTTCTCAATTAAATTCACTTTTCTTAACAAACTTCTTATTAATTTCTTTAAACTTCTGAGAAATATTTCAACTTTGAACTCGGCTAACTTGCCGGACTTAGAAAATGCCTGGCCCAAACTGCCGGCTACAACTACAGGTGACTACGACCTGGACTAAACTGCCCAGTGTCAATCAATTTTATTGAAAGACGATTTAGTGGGGGAAATCATAAATTAAGTTCATTGCACTTGACTGTTGTCAAGCCATTTTCCGCAATCTTGCAGATTTCGGCAGTGGTGTGATCCGAGTTCAGTGACTTGGATGCACCACTCCTTATATTGGGCAATTTATTTCAACAATTTCTCAAATAGGTCAATAAGCTGTTTGTCAATGAAGAGGAATTTGTTGAGAAATACTGTACTATATTTCTTAGGTTTTTTAACCCCAAGAATTGCGAAACTCAAAGGAATGTTAAATTTAATTGAATTACTTATTTTTTTAGAATTAGGTTTTTTGATTAATAGAAATGCATTGGATTAGAATATCAAAACGAAGAATTTCTCTTTTGTGAGATTGCAAATATTACAAAGGGTTGTTTTGTGTAAGTGTTTTCTATGATGTTTAACAAAAATCTTGTGTTTTCTGTTCAATTGTTGCGAATGATTTTAATTTAACTATGATTAAAAGATATTTGACAATATAATAAGTTACGGAGTTCGGCCGTAACAAATGCCCCCTTTTTATTAGGCTGACGTCCCTTGTCAGCTGCTATGAATGCGTGTTGTTTGTGTTGTGGTCCGATGTTGTATCCTTGTAGCATAAAGTTGTTAAATAACTCTTTCGAGTTTTACAAATATTTTGTCCTCTTTTTTTTTTTACATGAATGGTACTGCTGAAAGGTAAGAAAATTTGTTAAGAAAAAAAATAAAATAATTGAGGAGAAAAAAAATTAAAATAAATTCCCTTATTTAAAAAAAATAAATAAAGAGAAAAAAAAATGATCTTCGACGGACGAGCTGTTATTTTGTGAGTGGAATTGCTGAGTTTGCAAATTTAGTTTCCGTGTCGGTGTAACGTCAAGGTAAGTAGAAGGCCATAAGTGTAATATGATATAGTAGTTTTATTCTGATTTTAATTTATATAAAAGAGAGAAAGAAAATATTGCTTTTTGTTATAATTTATTGATTATATAAAAATTTTTTTAGCTCTTAATTCCGAAAGAATTATATAAAAAAAAATTATGTATTTTTGTAAGATAGGTGACAACATTGTTGTTACTGCCCCCCTTTTTATGAACTGTCGTCCCTTGACAGTTTATAGATAATGATAAAAAAATTAAGATATGATGTTAGGTCAGGATAAACGAAAGGGTGTTAAATCTGATTTTTGGAGTGGAAAAAATTTTTGTATCGAATAAAAATTTAAGTTTATTGTGAATGTAAGTTGAGTATTTCTTCCTGTTTTCAGTCCTGAGTTTCAGTTTTGTTTCTCACGGTTTGATTCTGCTAACTTGTGTTTTTGGTTAGTCGAGGTGATTTATGTCTTATGTTTCGTCAGTTCTTTTCGACATCTAGTTGTGAATAGTCGATAGTTGTATTTGTGATTTTGAAGTGTTTGTTTTGTGTTTTTAATTTTTTTAATTAAAATGGCTTCTTTTGATTTTTCCGTCATGGCGCAGGTGTTAGATTATGTTGATCGGGGCATTGTTAGTACGGAAAGTTTTCTGTTACTAAAATTGACTGAGATTGAGGACGCTCAGCGTTCTTCGTTTGAACGTGGAGAAAGAGGGTAAGTTGTTTTTATATTTTGTGTTTTTAAATGATGTGTATTTTCTTTTGTATATATATTTTTTATAGTATCAAATTGTTTATGTGTATATATTTTTTAAATATGTGCGTTAAGTGTTCTTCTACTTTTTTTTTATAGTGTACGGGTTGTAGTTACCCCTTGGCAGGATGCGGAATTGAGGGTGGTTTTTGGGCCTTGGCCTCTTTTACATCATCGTTTTTTTAATGGAGGGGCACCTTTCGAGGATGCTGTTTGGTATCAGGAATACCGCTGGTCTTGGGAGTTTAAAAAGTATGAGTTTCGGACTTATTGGGCTCCTTCATCTTATATTAATCCAACTTCCTGTGACGTACCCGAAGATGAACCGATGGAAGAGATAATAGGGATTTCAGGTGTTAATACTGTTTTTCGGTGAGTTTATTTGTTTTGATGGGGAGAGAGAAGAGAAGGAAGAGAAAAAAAATGTGTATTTTTATTTCTGTCCTTTTATATCTTGTTGCAGACCTTTCTCAGCCTTGCCCTATAGTCCTCCACGGATGGGTTATCGGCCTAAAAATGCTGCCTTGGAGCTCGTCTATGTGCAGCGGTATAGATTGGAATGGGAGGAACCCGTTTCTATTTCTAATGTTTGGGATATTGTGAGTAGTTATTAAGAATTAAATAGTTTTTGTTGTTATTCTTATCGATTTATTTTTTAAATTTATCTCTTTTTCTTTTTTTTTTAGCGTTGGAACGTGAGTCTGCAGAATGTTTGGTTTCCGTGTTAATAAGTGTATTTTTATTCATTACTATTCATTTTCTTTATGTTGTAATTTTTTGTGAAAAATGTATTAGATTTTGGGTTTTATTTTAATAAATTGAAAAAATGTTTTGAATTTATTTTTTCTGTTTTTTTTTTTTTTAAATTTTTATCTCCTTCCAATGTTTTGTTAGTTTTTATTGTTAAAAGAAAGAAATATTATTTAATATTAAAATTTTTTTATTGGACTGTTTTTTTTTTGAAAGATTAAAATAAAAAAAACTTCTTGAGCATATAAAAAAAATTTTTGAGTCAGTTTTGTTATTAAAAATTGTTAAATTTTTTGTTAAATCCTATATTATTGAAATATTTGTAATTTATATATATATATATATATATATATATATATATATATATATATATATATATATATATATATATATATATATATATATATATATATATATATATATATATATATATATGTATATATAATATATACATATATTCTTTGTTATATTGAGGTAAGTATAATTTATTTGAAATTTTGTTATTGGGGATTTTTTTTATTGTTAAAAAAATTTTAGTTGTTGCAGTTCAATAAATTTCTCCTTTTTTATTGTTATTTTAATAATTTCCATTTTGTAAAATAAATTATTGTTTATTTCATGCTTTATAATGAAATCATAATCTATTTTTATTTGTTTCTTCAGTTTTTTTTTTATTATAAAAAAATTTTAAATTAAATAATTTTTGAAAAAAAAAGTAATACCGATGTGCGTTTTTTGTAAGTAAATTTTGAAGTAACAAGTGTAATTGTCGTGTGGGGTCAGCATCTCCTGGTGAGGTGTTAATTGTTTTGCTTCTATCTATTCTTTTCGTCGCTGCATTTCCTTATCTTCCCCCCTGTTTTAATGCAGTATAGGTATGTCCGTCAGTATCTTTCGTGTGTTGTTATGTTATAGTTCGTCGTGGTTATATGTGTATTTTTTTTTGGTGTTATAAATTTTATTGAGATTTTGTTTCTTATGTTTAAAGTGATTGTTCGAATTTTGGATTAGTTCCTGTTTTTTGCTTCAACGTGAGTAAAATAAAAATAAAAAATTGTTTATATTTTATGATAAAATATAAAATATATAATGAAAAAAAATAATGAATGATAGAAATTAATTTTTATAAATAACAGTGTAAATTTCTTTGATTTTTTTGAGAATTCTCTTTTTTTAAAATTATTAATTTTGTCACGTTCTATAGTTTAGTGCGTTATGACTTTCTATAAATTTCCATAAATTACCACTAAAATTTTATAAATTTCCATAAATTACCATAAATTACCGCGAAAATTTCATAAATTACTAAATCTTAAGTATTTAATAATGATTTATATTTTACATATTTTTATTTATTGTAGTGAAATTTCCTATAAATTTCTATAAATTATCGCGAAAATTTCCATAAATTACCAAAATATTAATTTTTGTATGAGATCACCTTTTGTATGCATTTATGAAACATGTGAAATTATTAATTTGATGTTCAACTTTTGAAATTTCTGTTTTTTTTTTTAAATGAGATAATTTTGTATGTTATGTTCAAGTGGATTTGTATAAGTTATTTTATTCTATTTTGCTGTGTTTCGTGGCTGGCCTTGGTATGTAATTTAACTCTAATTTACTTGTCAGCGTATTTTCTCAATTTGGAATTTCTTTTATATACTCTTTGATTTAACTTTGTCTAACGATTGTTGTTTTTAAATTAGTTATTAATTACTATTTTTTTTTTACCATAATTTATTGATTGTTTATAAAATTGTTATTATTAATTTTTATTAGAGATTTTTTTTTTTAAATTTATTTCATTAACCGTTTTAGAGATTTTAGTATTGAAAATATTTAAAGAAAAATTTACAATTTTAATTCTTAGTGTTTTTATTAAAAAATTGTTTATTTATTGAAATTAAATAATTACACGCGTGAATTTATACACGAAATTTTGCGAAAGAAAAAAAAATGGTATTTTTGTTATTTCGCCCAAAAAAAAAAAAAATTTACTTAATTTTTCATTGAAATTCTGAAGGAAGTTAAAAGAAATAATATTCAATTATTCTCCTTCGCGCGAGATTCTCAGTTCTCTCTATATATATATAGATATATACGAGGTACTGTATGCATAGGCTCTATGCATGGCACTCCTCGTCTCTTTCTCCGCTTCCTCACGTTCGTATACGCCCCGCATGCTCCGCGGTTGTCACGAAGCAATGCTTTGCTCCGTACGTCTGTTCTTTGCTTCTCTACTTTTACCAGCTCCCCGGCGTTTCACCACTTCCTCGGGTACCTACAAACTATCTTCTCTGGCGCGTTCCCAGTTTGTCGAGAATCGAAAAATTTCAAGCGCCTAGGGTGTGCATGTTCCATACGATCTTCATGCATTTATCTTGCTTTCTATGCTTTCCGCCCGCTCCCCGGCGTTTCACCACTTCCTTGAGCACCCACAAGCTTTCTTTCATGCATATTATAGTTAGTTTTGGAGCTAAAATTTTCGCACAAAGGGGAATTAGTATTGAAAAAAAAATTTATCCCTTTATTCTTCATTATTTTGGTGTTTAATATTCCCATATTTAAAGAATATGTTTGTTGTTTTATTATAAGGACTACACAATTTAGTGTTTAAAATATTTAAATTAATTTCTGATTATTTTGAATTGTTATATCGTTTTTTTTGATGAATTTGTTTTTAGATGCAAAAAAAAGCAATGTCAATAAATAAAGTAAATAAGCAATTTTTAATGATAATGTGAATTAATTTTTTTGTCACCAAAATGAATTTGTTAATTTTAATTAAAATTTTTTGTGTATAAATTTTTTTAGGTGTTTCTGTTGATGTCTGAGGCTGTTTTTAGTGTTTTTTTTTTTTGTAAGTATCATTTTGATTTTTTTTGTATTTTTTTTTTTTTTTTTAAATTTTTGACTTTTTTAGGTGATTTGAGAATCTTGGAGGGGGTTAAAATGTTATCTTTTCCAGTTTTATTTAATTAGTAAGTATATTTTTATTAGTTGGTTTTCTCTGTTTTTGTATTTTTATTAACCTTGGCTCTTTTTTTAGGTAATTTGAGAAATTTGGAGGGGGTTAAAAATGTTATCTTTTCCAGTTTTATTTAATTAGTAAGTATATTTTTAATAGTTGGTTTTCTCTGTTTTTGTATTTTTATTAACCTTGGCTCTTTTTTTAGGTAATTTGAGTTTAAATTGGAGGTTCCTGCTTACCAATATTCTACAATTTGTGGAGGTTCTTGGCTTTTAAAATTTTATTTTGGGTAAGTTTGTTAATGAATTGTTTGATTGTATGTTGTATTGTTCATTTATGTATGTTTCATTGGTTTTATCTTTTTTAGGTACCCTGTGCCCCCCTTTTTATATGTGTTTTTTTTTTAAAATATATTTTTATAAAATTGCTTAAAAAAAAAAATATTATGTAATAGTATATTAATATTAAAAGTATTATTCAGTAAAAAAAAATAAAATTATTTAAAGTTATTTTAATTATTTAATCCCTTTAAAAAAAAATGTTCATGTTTGTAGATTAAAATATGTTTTTTTTTTTTAAATCTTTTGTTATTTTTATGTTGTTTTTTTTTTTTAAATATATTTTATATAATTGCTTAAAAAATATTATGTAATAGTATATTAATATTAAAAGTATTATTCAGTAAAAAAAAATAAAATTATTTAAAGTTATTTTAATTATTTTACCCCTTTTTAAAAAAAATTGTTCATGTCCCGTCCTAAACTGGTTCGCCTATTTCCTGGAGGATAATTTGAGGGGATGTTCCTATGGAAATCGTAGGAGAATTTTGCTTCGTTCTCGGGTCTTTTTTGGGCCAATTTTGGATTTCCAGTGCTGTTATGTCTAAACCATGAGGATTGGATACAATTTTTCGGTTCGAAGGCGATTTGTTGCTTATCGACCGTAAAAAAAAACTTAAAAAAAAATTTAAAACTTAAAAAAACTTGATATATGAAAATATTATTGGTTAAATTTTGCTATTGTATATGTGTGTTAGTGTCTGAATGTATTTATATACAAGTTGGTGTTAGTTTATTATTAATATATGCGGTATTTAACTTGGATTAGTTAGTGGGTTGATTTTTATTATAGGGTGATTAGTATTTTCTGTTTTCCTTAAGTTAATTTTAATGTTAGAGAAAAAAAAATTTTAGCTGATTAGTCATTATATTTAAGGCTTTTCACAGTATAGACTATATACATTATCCTCTTTTCTTCTTTCTTTTTTTTTTTCTTTTTAAATAGTTTTGTCTTTTTTGTTTAGGGTATGTCTATGTATTTAATTTCTGGTGCTTCTATATATCGTAATTTAGAAATAGGGTTTTCTTGTATTTTTCTTTCTTTTCGTATTTTGTCGCTGGTGGTAGGTTTGTTTTCTTCTTGTTGTTCGCTTCGTTGCAGGATGTCTTGTTTGATGGTTAAGGGGGTTGGGTATGTCTTTTGGTTTATAAGATTGCTAGTATTTGGGTTGTTGGGTCTCTGTTGTGTAGGGCTAGAAGGCATGGTGTACATCTGTTGCGTCTCTGTCTCGTTGTCTGTTTTCTTTCTTCTTAGGCAGCATAGAATTTTTATATGGTTTTTTAAGCATTGTTTTATAATTAAATAGATTATGATTATTATTATTATTGTTGTTAAAGTTCCTATTATTGAATTTGTATATTGATATTGTTCCTTTTTTCCAAGTGTATGCAAACTTTGAATTTCGAGACCTTTTTCTATTTCTTGTAATTTCTCGTCTGTTTCCATTTTTCTCCAAATTGGTCGTATTTCGTTTGAAGTTGTCACCTCCTTTTGGGGGTTTGCTGTTTTTAGTATCGGTGAAATCTCTTCTAGTTTTAATTCTATTTTAGGGGCATAAATATATTCTTGAGGGTTGTTAATTATTTGTAATGTAGGTAATTTTATTGTGTCAGTTTTTAAGGTACATTTTGGCGATAAGTTAACTATTCCTATTCCTTTTAGTTGGAAAGTGTTGACTTTGGTTTTGGGGCAGATTAAATATGCAGTTTCTTCTTTCGTTAGTGAATATAACCAATTTCCTGTTGTGATTAGAGGTTCCCATAGTGGTTGTTGATTCTTTGTGATCCGGATATCACAACTTCTTAAGGTGTTATTATTAGGTTCTCTTAGCAATTCTGATTCACAACTTGGTGCTAAAATAATGTCGTAAATTCCTTGTGTTGGATAACAAACGTATCTTCCTTCCACTATTTGGCAAGTCCTCAGCTGTTCTTCTTCTAAATAAAAATAATGTCTGCCCTCTATGCTAGTGGCTATGTATTTGGAGTGGGGTGTAATGTATGCTCTGTTTCCTTTGGTTCCTATAGTTTGTAGTACTGGTAGCTCGTGCATTTTGTAAAGTAGATATTTTTCTTTTTCTAAAAGGGGAATATCTAGTGTTATTATTAAATTTTCTCCTTTTACTTGTAATCCTATTTTTGATATTTCGGCAATTGTCGCGACATTTAGGTTGTCTATGTGCATAGGATATTCCTGGTTTTCTAAGAATTTATGTGCTTCGGTTGCTATTGTTTTTATCTGCTCGTTGTTTAATAATTTTGGATGTAATTTTCCTTCTATGGCTTTGAATATGACGTTTAAGGTTTCTTCTAATCCATGTTTGTAAGTTTCTATTTGTTCATTCCATTGTTTTGATGTTTTTTGTAATTGTAACATGAAATCTGTTGTAGTTAATTTTGATTCTACGGCAAATATGTCTTCTTCGAGTTTATATAGTCTTTTTCTTTCTTCTTCGGAACTGTTATGTTGTCGTTGTGCTAAATCATATAAATTTTGTAAGTCTGCTCTTACTATATGAGTTTGTTCTCCTACTAAATGCGATATGTTCTTTTGAGCTTCGTTTAATTCTGTGAAAAGTTGTTCGTATCTTTCCCCATCATCGTACGTTAGTATTCCTATGGTTGGACCTGCGATTTTTCCTATGAACCCTATTAATGGAGTGTTTCTTTTCTTCCTTTTTTGAAATTTAAGTGTTTGTTTTGTTGATGGTTGCTGTTTCAATTCTTTTATGACATTTAATAATTGTTCTCGTAGTAACTTGGCTACTGTAATTTCTTTATTTAACATCTTATATTCTAAAAAATCTTCACAACTTGATTTCATTACATTTTGGCAAACTGTTTCTATTTTTCTATATTCTGTTTCCAAATTAGGTAAATGTGTTTTAAAAGTGTCTGTGTCTACTAGTATTACCGTCCTCCATGTTCCTGAAATGCGTTGTAGGTTTGGCATAAGTTCGTAAAAAAGTCCTGTGTTCTTATTTAGAGGCGTTATGGTCATAAAAGGGTTTACGTCTTGTGTTTTTGTGAGCCCGTTTATTCCTAGTATTATAACGCATATCCCGAAGTAGTTCTTCATTTTTTTTTTTTCTGTAACCAAAATTAAATTATATGTTTAGTTTTCTATTTCTATTTGTTGGTTAGTTTTCTATTGCTAATTTAGCTAATCTATCTGCTTCTTCGTTTCCTATTATTCCAGTATGTCCTGGTTCGTATATTAATTCTACTTCTAGGTTATTTAAACTACCTTTCATCTTTACAAAGTCCTTTTTACTTATGACTTCTCGTTTTCGGCTTGTTTTCCAGCCGTTATTTTCCCATTTAGGTAGCCACTCTTTTATCCCATATATTACAAATTTAGAGTCGGTGTGTATCCTAATTTTCTTATAATTTAAATTTTTCAGAATTTCTATGGCCTTTATGATGGCTTCCATTTCTGCGCTATTATTAGTCTGCCTATTACATGCTTTTTCGCTGATATTTAAGGGGTGTTCTTGGTTAAACCAGATTCCTATTCCAGCTTGTGCATTAGGTTTACCGTTTGCCTTACACGCTCCATCAGTATACACATGTACATAGCCGTCTTTATCTATTCTCAATCCCTTTTTATCATTCTGTCAGGAATATGCTTTTTTGACCTGATCCTTGTGTTTTCGGAACCTTTTCTTTTCTGCGTCGCTTAGTATCAAATTATTTTTTTCTGTGATCCCTACTACTTCATATGGTCCGTGGTAATATGGGGAGAATTTTCCAGCTCTTACTTCTTCTTTAACGTCTACTAAGTCTCCTATTTTCACGTCCAAGGGTTTTGTTTTGTTGCTTAATTTTTTCCTGATTTTTTCTTTTGACTGAATCAAATTTTTGGCTACCATTCTTCTAATTTCAATTAGTCGTGTTACTAATTCTCTCAAATAGGACTCGTATGTTTCCATTATTTCTTCTGTTGGGAATATAGAGGGGGTGCGTGCGGTTTTCCCAAAAACTACTTCATGAGGGGTGAACTTAGTCGCTTCGTGGACTGAAGTGTTATAGGCAAACATAGCGTAGGGCAATAATCTGTCCCAATCGTCGAAGGCTGTTGCGTAGTGTCTAATGAATTCTGCTAATACTGCGTGACTGCGTTCTAACGCTCCGTTTGTTTGGGGTCTATACGCTGTTGTAGTTACTTGGGCTACTTTAAATAATTTCGCCAATCTTCTTAACAGATTACTTGTGAATGACCTTCCTTGATCTGTTAAAAGACATTTGGGTGCTCCATATACTGAAATTAGATTAGTGGCTATTGCATTTGCTATTGTCGTAGAATTTATGTTCGGTATTGCTACAAAAATGCAATATTTGCTAAGTTGATCTTGCATCGTCAAGATGTGACAGTTTCCATTAGCGGTGGTAGGGAGTTTTCCTACTGTATCTAGGGACACTTTATCCCATGCATCCAATGGTGTATCCGTTATGACCATGGTTTCTTTATTTTTTGTTCTAACAATTTTCTTCTCTGCACAACTTCTGCATTTTCTTATGTATTCTGTAATTTCTTGTCTTAAACCTGGCCATGTGAATTTTTCTCGGATTCTTCGATATGTTTTATTGACTCCTTTGTGTCCTGCTATCAGACTATCGTGGTATTCTGCGATTATTTTTGCTCTAACTTCCTCTGGAGGGATCATCGTTTTTCCGTGACATACGGTTATCTTAATATCTGCTTTTAGAAAGACTTTTGCTAGTTGTTCTATCCAATTGTAATCTGATTCTTCTAACATTTCTACGTGTCTAGGTACGCGTATTTGTTTTATATTGTCTTTTTGAAGGGTGTTTTTTAAGTTGGCCAATGTGTTCACCAATTTACTTTTACTTACAGTGTCGTCATAATTTTTGGAAATTATTACCGTGTAGACTTTGTGTTTCCCAAATTCAGTGACTAATATTTGTCCCTTTTTTGGTTTTTTCGATTTCATTTCTAACAAGTCTATTGCTCCTATAGCGATCATTAATTTGGCTGTATAGTCGTTCGGTTCCAAATCTGATGCCATGAAATGTAC